CTCAAAGAGTTTCATTTTTTGTATTTACTACTTGTGGAAATCCCTTCCGATTTTTTGCTTCCCTGACAACTACAATGATCAAAAATTTAATTCCGATCGCGATCTTTTGTTTTCTTGAACCGTTTTCATTTTTGTCCTTTCCTAAATCCTCGACAACCTCTGTCCTCTCATTCACTTTCACTTCCTGTAAAGCGCTGCGTTTTAGTAGCATTATGTCCTTGCTTGGGGTGAAACGATTAAATAGTGGTTTCGTTTTATTTGATTTATTTCTTTCGGTCTTGATAGTTTTAAAGGTGGAAAAGGCAAAGACAACATTAGCTGTCTGGAAATTCGTGGAGACTGCAGCCTCAGGGTTGTCCGCTGGAAGTGCTTGCCGGTACACTTATCCATGGGCGACATGGCGCTGCTAGAATCCCGATATTAGGCTACTGTTGATAAGAGCAGCCTCCCTAAGCCCTAACTAAGAGATCGACTTCCCTACTACCAATTGGGTTTCAGCAACCAGAGAACTGCCAACCCGGTACCGTCAGTGTGAAGAGTCGTAGCCTCCAGTCAGCCATATCACCAAATATCCATGACAAGATAATCTATAATTATATATATATTACTTACTTATCAAGGAAATGATATGAAAAACCCTATTGAAAATGTTTATAAATCTAACCTGTTTTACTTTTACTAAAGCTTCATCAGAGAATGGGGTATGCAGAAAAATACGAAAAAAATTGTTATTTTTTAATTTTGTTGTAGTTTGATTTTCAATGGTTAATAATGTTTCACGTGAATTCGACTCTTTTAAACCAAAGTTACTATAGCTTATGGCGTTCTCAATTCAAGGAGAGACGAAACGTCATTTCGAAGTTCCAAGAAATGAATGGATTCCCAACCTGTCTGGAAAACCTTAAATATTTCTTTATTTATGTAAGTGCATAATATGTATATGTTCTTTACCTAATCATTCTTATCTTATCAATCAATTTTTTGCATTCCGAATTCAAGGAGAGGCAAAGTTCCAAGAAATTAACGGATTTCAAGTCTACTTGAAAAACCGTAAATATTGCTTTATGTATGTAAGATTATGTTAAAAAATTAATTTAGGCAAGTATAAATATTAATAATTTCATTAAGTATTTATCCAGTATCTAATTTAATTTAATTTTTTCCGATAATTATTCTAACTTATTCTTTGAGCAAACGAAATGAATTTTGATACAATATTCTGACTGAATAATTCATGTAGAGTACTTATATGGAATAAATTTAAACATTTTACGTTTTTAAAATCAAAACTGATTTGTATTTTTTATACGGGAGAATAAATAGTTTTTTACAGGTTTTTGCGTTTCAACAAAATAATTGTTTGTTTAACGGCATATTAACACCTTATGGGTTATTTAATTTTCGTGGGAGCTTCAGTATTGTTTTCCTTTTTCAAATGTTTATTGCTGGTGATTTTTTTGTTCTTTCAGTTTTTTTGTGTGTGTGTGTGGGGGGGGGTTGGACCTGAGAACAAAAGCAATTAAGAGATGGTTTCACGTTCCTCAAAACCTCCAGATCAGAGGTTTTGCTGCCGGTTGTAGTTTATCGTCATATCCTGGAATTCAAGAAAATAGCTTTTATCACATTTATTACACGGGCTTATGTATATATCATCATTTGAATAATATTTATTATTCTTAATGTTTGAATTATTAACTATGTTTTGCTTTTTGTTTTTGTTTTTACCATCATCATACACAAGGCCCTAGAGCCACTCAAAGTAGAGCGTTCCTAGAATTGTTTGTTGTGTGAGCGTTAAAAGTAGGGAGTACGAAGCGCGGTTTATGAGCATATGCGGAAAAGATAGCAGTTAACCTTCGACTGGAACAGGTTAAGATTGTAGTGACCAGAAAAGCATTTTTATGGGATTCTGTCCCCCAAAGCTAAAGTTCTTGAGATGAATTTATTCCTTACTAATGGAGTACGACGGAGACGGTGATAGTTCGCTTCAATGAACGCATCATGCCGTGTCTTAGCTGCGAGGGTTATAGTTTGATCAAGTAAGATATGTCGTCCGTTTAAATGTTCGCCATAGAAATAACGAAAAAGCAGCCAAAGGTTTGCAACGTTTTGTCTGCGGGAAAAAGGGTTGTACGGTTGAAAATAATTAATCGCGAACAAGTCCGCGTACACGCTTTTGAACTCTATCAAGACTGGAAAGTTATGTCTCTTGTAAAGGCAGGAGGAATCAGATACTTAACGTAAGATTCCAAGGAACTAAACCTTTCTCTAGTATCTTTAACGATGTGCTGCATATAAGAATTCCGCATGAGTTTTGGGGCGAGTTTATTGAAGATGAGGCTGGGGCGGTCTTTATTCCAAGGTTTTTGATTTTATCACAAACTAGCAGCATGGCCTGGTGTTGCCCGTGCTTGATTCAAAAATCGTACGACTCATACAGCAATAGCTATCACTTGACTTAAAATATATTTCCCCTTCCTTGCCTTTAAAGGAGTGCACTTTACCATGCTGATGTTGCTACATGCATTACTTCTTGCCTATCTCACACTGTTAATTTTTTCTAAGTTCTATATTAAACATTAAATCTGTTACGAAAAAAGAACTAAACAAAATGAACACAAAACGATCAGCTTTAAAAAAGGACTTGTAACTGGAAAAACCGAATGAAAAAAAGAATGATAACGACAAATACTTTTTCACACCCAAACCAGTTCTGCGGAATCAGAATCAACGTTGAGTTTAAGCAAGCGAATGAGCCAATTGGAGTAAAGTGCCATGCAGATTTAAATTTTTCCCACTTGTAACGAATGCAGCTGTCGATTTTTTTTTTGCATGCTAGCATGCTAGTTAACATTCGTGTCAGTCAGCTATTGGTTCTCACGCTGGCCAATAGAATCTTCCTGCTTATTCGTGGCAGCCAGCTATAGGCTCTCACTCTGCCCAGTAGAAAATGGCCGCAAACTACATGAAAACTGCCGTAGAAGCATGAAAAAATCGATTATTTCCACTATCGATGGGAGTTGGGAAATGCAACGTCGGTCTTGGCCTTCCCATTAACTTTGAGCATGTGCATGTAAATTTTGGTGCAAATCCGTCGAAATTTGCGGCCGTGCATTCGTTACACACACACACACACACACACACACACACACACACACCTGCCTTTTATAGATAGAGATTATTTCGGTAAATGGGCTCATGGATAAAGATATATATATATATATATTATAAATATCTCAAGAGCTAGTTGGGACATGAATAAGTAAACTAATACTTAACATCAGGAAGAGGCAGGTGGAAGGAGGGGTCACAGGACATATTGAACGCAAGAGAAACAGATGAAAACAACGCATAAAATACATAATGAGCATGAGTAAGTGGATGCCAGAACAAGTCTGAGGTAAATAACAAAAAGACAAAGTTTATTAAGAGCTACAAGGTACAGGAAGTTGTGGAGAGCCATGATTGACAACTTCCTCAACGGACACAACACACAAAATGAAAAATGAGCTTGAGTAAATGGATGGCGGAAGAAGGTTTAGGAGAGATAGAAAAAGATAAAAATTATTAAGAGCTACAAAGGAGAGGAAATTGTGGAGAGACATGATCGTCAACGTCAAAAGGGAAAGGTCAAGTTGAAGAAGACGTGTGGGAAGTAAATAAGGTGGATGAATTTATGACTGCCCAACTTTCTAGAATGAGATTCAAATTCTAATCTCACTTTTCGCAAAATTCAGGTAATTTGCATTTTTTCGGGTTTTAATTTGGTATCTTATCAAAGTTACAATGCTTCTTTTAGGGTTGTTGAATAATTCTATATCTTTAATGCTGCAGAAGCATAGAATTATTCTGTATCTATGAATGGCGTAGAAGCATCGTCTAAAATATTACTACCAATGAGAGATACCCAATTAATGCGTCATTGTCAACAATATAGTTGGTGCAAAATAATGACGTAATAATGTCGTTTTTGACGTTAAAAATACGTCAAAAACGACATTATTACGTCATTTTTTTTGCACCAACCTAATAACTGTCTTGGATTGCGACAGAACAAAGAGGATTATAAGCAAAACACAAATCCAGGAATTTTATCTTTAAAGATTTTAGGAACCATTGTACTTTGAACAGGACAGATAAGCAACAAAAAAGAATACTGAACGAGTTAATCCTCCGACCAACCTTCATTTTGCTCTACATAAATGATCTGCCTAAGAATATACTCAGATGCCAGATCAGAGCCAGTTACGTTGCATATAAGATCCAGAAACGGATATGCAACGTAATTGGCCCTGATATGGCATCGCGTCTGCAATCGCTCTCTCACAGAGGCGCCGTTTTCTCCCTCTGTGTTTTTTTTACAAATACTTTCATGGTAACTGCTCTGATAAGCTGCTTTCGCTGTTTCCCAGTTTCAACTAGGCTGGCATTTGGCTCACACCCTTTCACTGTTGAAACTGTTAAATGTAATTCTCTCTTCTACTCCAATAGCTTCATGTATCGCACCTCTTGCCTGTGGAACTCCTTCCTTGCTTTCTGTTTCCCTGATAGCTATAATCTCCAACTATTCAAATGTAATGTCAATCGACATCTCCAGATGCCTTGATCTATCCCCTATCCTTCTCTTCATCCTTTCCTCTATCACCCCTCTTTGCTCTTGCTCCAACTTTCTGTAACCGCTTGCGTGCTAGTGGCTTCCCGCCTTGCTTGAAAAAAATAGACAATTTCTAAACATCTATGCCGATGATACGACGAGTGTAACATTAAAACTCCTGATGATCAGAGATTGGTACCTGATCTTTCATCCGATCTAGCACAAACTTTTCAGTGGGAAAAAATGCCATGTTACATTAAATGTTTCGTGAATCAAACTACTTACATTCCGTCATCGCCGATCAGATCCTTGAACTACCCTCAGTCACGATAAATGGATATCCCCTCGGGCATTCTCCGTACCTTGAGACTATTGGGCCTTAAACTCATAACTGAGACTCGTACATACGATCAATCGTAAAGTGAAGTACTATTGTCAGATTTGGGACGTAGCTTCCAAGTTCTCACTTTCCAGTCACGATAGAGTCCAGAAGCGACTCAGCGTCCTTGCGGGCGAAAAATATTTTCAACCCTCCAACCTCTCTCTCATAGGCGGGATGTGACTCTATCGCTAATACCATGGAAAGTGCGCGGACGAACTACATTAACTTTGTTCCACCAGTACTGACCTTCAAGGCTTGGACCCACCATGCCAATCACATTGTAGCCAACCAACCATATTCTCTCCGAATTCCATTGGTGAGAAGTAAGTTCCACTCGAACAGCTTCTTTCCAAGAACCACTAATGTGGAACCGATTTCCAAGAAGATGCTTCCTCGATCATTACAACGTTAACCTAGGATTAATCGCTATCTTCCTTTCCTATCCATATAAACTCTTATTGTAACCCTCTACGTCGAGTGCAGATTGAACATTACTGTAAATATATGTAATATATATATATATATATATATATATATATATATATGAAGAAAAATATATATGGAAAAAAACAAAAAAAAATCCTTATATACAATTATGCTGTTTTAATGTTAATATGTCAACGTCAGACGTTTCGGTCTAATAAATTATCTTCAGGACATATTCATAAATTATAACATTATCAATACAACATGACAAAGACGATGTACATAAGAACAAGACTTATCCAAACAGATAACTGAAAGTTTTATAAGATCAGCGCTCCGTTTAAAACATGGTCACATATATATATATATATATATATATATATATATATATATAAGAGAGAGAGAGAGAGAGAGAGATAGATAGATAGATAGATAGATAGATAGATAGATAGATAGATCCGTCCTATATATAGTGAATGCTGGACAAAGAAGAAAGACGGTTGGGTGGGGGTCAACAGAAATTTGCTACTGCAGATTCTAATTTGCGTATTTATTTCGCCCCCCCTCCAAATTTAATTCCATTAATTAAAAAATATATACTATTTGAGACCGCTGGACGTAGAGTAGGCAAGGAACGACAAAGTGGAAAAAAAGACATGTGTAATGTGTTTTCTTCCCTGAAAGAACCATCAGGAAAAATATCAGTATTGCTAGAAATTGGGCCAAGTGGAATCTTCCAAAAGAACAAGTGACCAATCTAACGCTTCTCTCCCACAGACAAAACGAATATTTCTTACTGTTTCCGTTGCAGAAGAGACCTTTCTGAATTCATACAAAATACAGTGAGGGATATGGGTCTGATCCAATCCCATTTTAAAAGGTTCAAATCGATACGCAGTTTAACTGGTATTATTAACTATTTGTCTGTTCAAGGCATTTTCACGTGTACCATCCAAATGTTCATATTGGTTTTCAGATTTATAACTATTGCAAGGCAACTCAACTTACAGTGCTGTTCGATAAAAGTGACTCACCTGATTTTTTTAAATGTTGTCTACTCCGATGAAACGAAAGTTGAGCTAAATTTAAAGGATAAGCGATCTAAAATCTGAAGAAGCTTTGAAAGCTCTTTGATTTTAGCAGTAAGTACTGTCAAGCATCCGTTCAGTATAATGTTCTGGGGATGCTTTTCTTTTCATGGAACTGGTTTCTTAAAACTTATTGAAAAGACCCTCAGGAGGGAGCAGTACAAGAAAATTTTAGAGTCTTGTCTGCTCCCTTCTACTAAAAGGGTGCACATCGACCCCCACGAAGCTCATTTTTATGCAAGATAATGCTCCCTGTCATAAATCAAAATTGATGAAGGAATACTTTGATGAGAAACAGGTGAGTGTTATGACATAGCCGCCCCAATCTCCTGACCTCAACCCCATAGAAAACTTATGGAGCATTATAAAGTACAGGCTCTCGAGAAAGCAGTTGAGCAACAAATAGGATTTGATTGTGAATTTCATATCCGAATGGAATTCAATGCTTGGAGATGACATTTGCCAGAACCTAATCAAGTCAATGCCAAAAAGGGTTGAGAAGGTTATTCAAAATAAATTAGATTATTAAATATTTCGAACTATATTACGTATTATATGTAAATAATACCTCTATCATTCTTTATTTAAAGCTGATCGGTAATGTTTCTATTGATTACTAGTTGCAGGAAATAAGCGAGTCACTTTTTCCCCCTAAATCTCATTTATATCCAATAATTATAATTATCAGTAGAATACCTTAGGGTGAGTAAACGTTCTTACTAGCTGATCAGGAAGGGGTCTTTATATTAGTAATATTAAAAATTAGTTTGACCCCAAAAACAATAGCCAAAAAAAAATTTTAAGTAAAAAATCAGGTGAGTCACTTTTATCGAACAGCACTGTATTCGGCAAATAGAATATGCTGATATATATTATTTTACATAAAACACAGAACTTACAAATCATAAATGATTTACATAGGTTCTGTAAATTCCATGTGATGCACAGGATCTCATGATGTGAAACACTATATATCAGCACATTCTAGTTGCCAAAATAAGCCGAGTTCCTTTGCAATAGTTATAAATCTAAAAAGAGGCAAGTGTCTTGTGGTCGTATATGATGCCCAAAATATAAGATTAGACCTTTCCTCAGACGTCCTACTCAATAGTAGACTCTTCTCTTAAGCGTCCCTATTTTTAACACTCTTTTAAAATCATGGCTCGTGTCCACCGCATATGATGCACTGACAAGGAAATCAGATGTGATGCACAGGTTACAATTATATCATTAAAGAGGGAAAAATAGATATCTTTCATTTTTTGACGTTATATTATCAGTCAAGCGTCCAGTGGTCATATATGATGCCAAAAATATTAGATTAGGCCTTTCCTCAGACGTCCTTCTCAATAGTAGACGCTTCTCTTAAGCGTCGTTAGTTTTAACACCCGTTTAAAATCCTGGCTCGTGTGCACCGCGTATGATGCATGAACATTGAAATCATATATTATGCATATTATATATGATGCGTGCGACAGGCTGAGAGTTAAGTAATGTGTAAAGGAATTAAAAAAAAAACTTTAGAATGCAAAAATTAATACTCATTTTACTGGGGTTATTGAACAAGTAACATCAAAGACGTCACGTAAAACACGAAAGAAAAATGAACAGAGCCTGTAAGCAACGACCAGTTTTTAAGGGAAATCTAAAAAAAAAGAATGTTAGAAACAACTTCTTCGACCCATCATGAGGAAGGAGCTCTTGGAAAAATTAACACTCAGAGGATATATCGAATGCAAAAAGGACAGGGGAAGCCAGTGGGCTACCTACCTGGCAGATAGTAAGAAGGCCAGTAAAATAACAAAGTTATGGAGAGCCATCGCGTTTTGAAGAGACATAGCATATAGAATAATCAGATACCTGTTATCCATGACAGCAATAACTACATTTAAGAGATGTCCTTTGAAAAATTCTTCTGGGGTCTGGAAATATTTTCGGGTGCAACATTTAAAGCTAAACTTCTTCCACAGTAACCAGGAGGATTAAATCGAATGTCCGTGTGGCTGTATGTCATATTTTAGACGCTTGCTTTTCATCGAGACTCAGTTTTTATTTTGAGGCCAATCCCTTTGTTTTTGTGTTCTGTATCTTTTTCATTGATTTCGCTATCGATTTTCTTGATTAACTGGAGGAAATGTCTCTACACAAGCCACACCGTAAATAGAGCCAACAATTTCAACTTTATTGCTTTAGAAGAAAATCCCCCCACCACCACCAATCAAATTGGATCCTGGGTTATTTCTCTTCTGTGACCAAATGAGTTGAGTGACCTTGGTTTTAGCAGAGGCACACAATTTAAAACGGAGACGTTTTCCAAAGAAAGACAGCGATAAAATTCGAGCGAATTTCAAACCTTCATCACATAGAAGTTTGGGAAAGTCAACAAAAGAAGATATTTTATAGGCAAGAAGTGAAAGTCTGTTTCCCCCTGTGATATTGGATAAGTACTTAGCGAAAGGTCACATCTATAGCTAGCTAGCTAGTTAGGTAGATAGATCGATAAGAACACACACACACACACACATACACACACACACACACACACACACACACACATATATATATATATATATATATATATATATAGATAGATAGATAGATAGATAGATAGATAGATATGAGGGTTTGCTGAATTATTCTTCGTCAGTCACCAAAAACCAAATTCATGACCGAACATAATTTGTTATTAACGAAAATGTCGCAAAAATAGATAGATAAATAGATAGATGGATAGATAAAAACAGACCGAGACAGAAAGAAAGAAAGAAAAGAGGAAGAAACAAATAAAAAGAAAGAAATAAAGAAAGAAAGTAAGAAAGAAAGAAAAAAGAAAGAAAGAAAAAGAAAGAAAGAAAAAAATAAAAAGAGAGATTTAAGATAATTTGTTATTAGCAAAATGTCGCAAAATAAATAAATAGATAGTTAGATCTATAAAACCAGATAGATAGATAGATAGATAGATAGATAGATAGATAGATAGATAGATAGATAATAGAATAAACTGAGATAGATTAAAATCGGTCGATCGATCGATAGATAAATAGATAGATAGATAGATAGATAGATAGATAGATAGATAGATAAAAACAGACCGAGGCAGAAAGAAAGAAAGAAAGAAAAAAAGAAAGAAAGAAAGAAGGAAGAAACAAAATAAAAAGAAAGAAAGAAAGAAAGTAAGAAAGAAAGAAAAAATGAAGAAACAAAAAAAGAAGGAAAAAGAAAAAAGAAAGAAAGAAAGAAGAAAGACAGAAAGAAACGGGTAACGAGAGAGGGAGAGATATGCACAGCTTACGCGATGCATAGATATAGGGAAACGAATAATGTTTTGCAAAAAAATGACGTGCTGTCTTTCTGAGGCTAAAATGAATTTGTTTCATTGAATTACGTTTTCGATAAGAAGCAGTTTATTATGAAGTTATCATTTTTATTACTTTATATATTCGTGCAAAAGTCGATTATGTCGACTACAGATTGTAGTCTAAACGGAAAAGACCAACAATTGTATGGATGACAATTCCCACTGTATGAACTCTATTGGTGTGCATCTGTTATCTTATTGAAAAATGTCAGAATAATTCTTTCTTAGTGGGCGACAATTTTATGGATACTAATTTTGAAAGCGTTAAATTTATGCGGACATATAAATTAGCATAGGTACATTGTTTTGTTTGCCGCACAAGTCACTGCCTGCGAGCAGTATCAAAGTGTACAGCGCTTTCCGTTTTGACTCCGTTAAAATTATCAGTGTATTGTAACTTTCAAACGGAGGAAGAGTCACACAGCCCGCACGCAGCGACGACTCAGTGTGGTCTTCGATGTACTGCTACCCAGCATTTAACACGCTGACCACTGCGTTAAGGCGGCTGGCGATCCTCTATTTGTTAATCTGGGCGAACAATTACGGGATTTGTTTCGATTTACACGTGTTTCTTATGCTCTTACAAAGCTAGAAAATTTTATGGAGTCACTTTCCTTAAAATATGTTTTCACATTTTCTTTACATTGCTGCAACATAAATAAATTATAAATTTGACACAAAATTAAACTTAACTGATGGCTGATTCTCCATGACTAAATTTCAAATTACACTATTTTTTTAAAGAATGATATCGTCTTCGAGATCAAATGTTAGAAAACATTATGGGAGTTTTCAATTTTTTAGAAACAATCATGAAACACCTTTTTAAATTTTATAATCTGTCAATTTGCATGGGGTTAAAAAAGAAGGACTTGCCGTTTTTTTTTTTTATTAGAAATTACACTTGACTTAATGAAATTAAACATGGCTCCAACAAGAGAGCGGTCCATTAAAAGGAATCATGACTCCAACAAGAGAATTGTTACTTGAAAGGAAACATGGCTCCATCAGTATTGTTATTTAAGAGGAAACATGGCTCCATAAAGAGAGTTGTTACTTAAAATAAAACATGGCTCCATCAGTATTGTTAGTTAAGAGGAAACATGGCTCCATCAAGAGAGTTGTTACTTAAAATAAAACATGGCTCCATCAGTATTGTTATTTAAGAGGAAACATGGCTCCATCAAGAGAGTTGTTACTTAAAAGGAAACATGGCTCCATCAGTATTGTTATTTAGGAGGAAACATGGCTCCATAAAGAGAGTTGTTACTTAAAAAGAAACATGGCTCCATCAGTATTGTTATTTAAGAGGAAACATGGCTCCATCAAGAGAGATTTAAATTAAAAGGAAACAGGGCTCTCATAAGAGAATTTTCACTTAAAATGAGGTATAACTCTAAAGGAACCTTTTATTGAAAGGAGACACGCCACAAAGAAGAGAGCTGTTAACTGAACGGAAACATGGCTTCACAAGAATGCTGTCACTTAAAATGGATTATGTCAATTCAAAAGAAACGTGCCTTCATCAAGAGAGTTGTCACCTGAAATGAAGTATGGCTCCAAGACGGCAGTCATTCGAAAGGAATCATGCCTCCCAAAAGAGATCTGTTGCTTCAAAGGAAACACGGTTCCTTTTCTATTCATAATATTAGAATTTGGTTTGGTTTGTTTTCAAAAAAAAATTATCTCGATAATAATTTGGCACGCAGTCTATAAAATGTATTGCTGGTAATTTCAGAAGAAAAATGTATTGCTGGTATTTTAATGATCAAATATATTGTTGGTATTTTGAATGTGAAAATGTATTTTATATACTTTCCTATCGCTTTGACTTTTATTTGGGTGTTTATTATTTGCCATAACTAGGACTTTAACATGTGTTACCACATCGGGTGAGGATAGAACAACAGCAATTATGTGATGGTTCCATGTTCTTTAAGACTTCCAAACTGGCGGATGTAGTTTATCGTCATACCAAGGACTACCCATTGGGTGGAAGTGATTGTTTTTAAGTCTCTGCGGTGGTGCGGTTAGCATATTCTACAGCCCCAGCCGACAGAGCGGAAATGACCTATATCGCCTAAGTATGGAGGAATTTGACAATAATGAATCACCAACTGCGGAACATGCTCATTGAACAATATTCTGTAGGCGATCAGATTTTTAAACCATCGGCCTCTTGACCAATCATCGACACCACTGAATAATCATCCACAACTTGACCCATCTCCTTTACCATTTCCTTGCATTTTTTCTCGAAAAGATTGTTCTTTTTGGGTATTCCTTTTTGAGTCTATATTTTCTTTTCTTTTCTTTTCTTTCTTTCTTTCTTTCTTTCTTTCTTTCTTTCTTATATGCTTGATGATTTCTTTTCTTTCTTTCTTTTCTGACATGCTTGAGGTTCCCCTTCGTTTCTTTTCTTCTTTGTTTATTTGTTTCTTTCTTTTTTTGTTTCTTTCTTTCTTCCATGCTTGTTGTATTCAGTACTTTCTTTTTCTTTCTCTTTTTCTTTCTCTTTTATTTCTTTCTTTCGTTCTTTTTCTTTCATACTTGATGTTTTACTTTCTTTCTTTCATACTTGCCATTGTCCTTTCTTTCTTTCTTTCTTTCTTTTTCTTTCTTTCTTTCTTTATACCAAGCTGCATCGCTTCCGTTTTTCCTCACGATCAAAATGGAATAGTCCATTATTTATGAGGTGCAACAGGGTGTTACGTACGGGTTAAACAACTACTTGCCTAAATAATAATAATAATAATGTTGAAACTTGACTAATGCAGGGAATAATAAAACAACACAAAATGTACTTAGAACAAAATGTATTGAAACAAGAAAATGTACACAATATTTACATATAGTCTTTTGTATATTCCTGGTAAGACCGTTCCTGGAGAATGTGTTGACTGAGTCGCAGTCGGGCAGAGTCTCTGGATTGAATCTCTTGATTCCTCCCTCTCTTCCCGGTACCAACCATATTTATATGGTCGGTACTCCACTATGCAAATTAGGTGGATCCTACCACAACAAATAATAATAATGTCAAGGACCTTGGAATCGAAATCTCAAAAATGTGGCACAAGGGAACATCAACAATCCACGTTGTAGTCGGAGCCCTGGGATTGGTTGGAAAAAATTCCAGTAAACTAATTAAAGGGATTCCCGGAAGCACATGCCTTAAAGAAATACAAAAAAAATGTTCTCACGAGTAGGGCCCATAGGTTAGGAAAGGGCTTTGTCGATGTAAAATATGTTGTTTTTTTTGTAGTGGAAAAAGTCATGTTGCCATTTCTAACCTTAGGTCTCTGGTCGGGAGCCGGAAAGAAATGAGTATACATCAGAAATCAAAGGAAATATAACAACAACAACAACAACAACAATAATAATAATAATAATAATAATAATAATAATAATAATAATAGTCCTTATTTATGTGTGTCATCTTAAGTTGTTTCATTTATTTCTTTACAGTCTTGATGCTATTTCTGACCTAGGCTCTCTGACTGGGACTCAGAAGGAGATAGGCATAACACAGAAATTAAAAGAAATAATGAAAATAATAAAAATAATAACAATAATAATAATAATAATGGTGAAGCGGGAGTTATCCGTGATTGGACTATAAATTCGTACAGGGGTCACAGTGTGTTAGTTAATATGAATAAAGTTGTAGTTGACGGATGAATCACAAGTCGATACCTAATCAGTATAGCTTAGGTCACCGTGTAGAGCGAGGGTATGATTTTGAAAGACCGGAAATCCCTAATGAACCTCGGCTAAAAACATCACTGATGATGTGCGCCAAAGCATCAAACAGATGTATTTCAGGAAATAATAATTTAATCTTTTATTCGATATGGATGATATCAAACTCCTTGCCAAAGACGACAACGAGTTGAAAGGTCTCCTCATTACTGTAAAATGTTTGAGTAATGAGATCGGCATGGATTTTTGGATGAGATAAATGTGCAAAAGTAACATTCGACAAAAGGAGAATTACAGAAACCGACTCGATAGATCTATATTTATATATATATATATATATATATATATATATATATATTTTGTTATAAAGATTAGGGAAATGGAACATGTAGAAGCCTATAAATAACTACGCGTCATCGAATTAGATGAAATACGGCATACTCAAATGCAGGAGAATGTGAGAAAAGAAGACTACAGCGTGTGTGCCTGGTGTTAAATACCGAGTTGTATTCCCAAAACAAGGAGGTTCGATGGGGTAATGGATAGCGGCTCAGACTGAGAAATCGTAGAGCCGAGTTCGAAATCCAGTGAGATCCATTACATTCACTTACGTGCTAATACCCCCCGGGTAAATAGCAGAACAGACCGGGTTCTATAACCCTGGAACCAACTGGTCTACAGAAGAAAAGAAATAGCAGCCTACTGTGGGGAAAAAAATCTGCCTCGTCAGTCATGCATCGCCTGGCATATAACTGACTGATTCAGAATAACATCCCTAAACACATTGGCTGTCACAGTGTTTTGATTTTGTTTCAATTTCTTTAATTAAGCCACAGCTGACATTAAACAATTTGCAAAGACCCCCATTTAGGGATTTGTTAATGTTGAAGCTTAAATAAGCATGGAATAATACAACACAAAATGTACGTTAACAAAATGTATTGAAACAAAGAATAGGTACACAATATTTACAGTTAGTTTGGTATATTCTTGGGAAGACTGTTCCTGCATAATGGGTTGACTAAATCGCAGTCGGGCAGAGTCTCTGGATTCAATTTCTTAATCTCTACTATCTTCCCCGTCTTCCGGTACCAACCCATATTTATATGGTCGGTAGTCCGCTTATGTAAATTAGGTGTATCATACACAACAGTTAAACTTAAACTTACTACATGTTATTCCTTGTATTTACATTGAATTGTTTACATACATTGCATTTGCAGAGGTATATTTTACAACACTTAGCCTATAAAGTTTTTATTATCAGCCGTAAGAAGACACTTTCTGTCGTAATTTTATATTTCACGAGTTGAAGAATAATGACTACTTTGAAAAGTATTTTTTTTTTATTATTTCTAATCACTACTATTTTTTGATGTTTTATATACATATATATTTTATAGTTTCTATAAAAATGACAATGGTAACTACTGAAATTAAACATAAGTATTAATAAACTCCTAAGACACCTGTCTGGGTCAAAAATGCGCATTAAAAAAATTTGGCAGTTAATGGGTTAAGCGAATGGATGTTAAAACGAGAAAGCTTCTAACTTACCATTGTATGCATCGTCCTAATGTCACTGTATTTGTCTACCACAGAAGAATGGATGCTGATCTGTGTCAAAAAATTATCGAAGAAAGAAGACATATTATTCAGTAATAAAGGAAGCTAACATTTTCAATATGGAATTTCATGCGTGTTCGTCGTATTCAATTCATCTCAGGAAAGTTCACCGTGAAAAAATTTCACATCGAGGAAAGTTCACAGTGAAAGGATAAATACCGTAATCCCCCATGTTTAATACGCATTTTTTTCTAATATAATAAGCAAAATTAAAGGGTGCGTATTATGCACAGCTACAAAAACAATCTTCAAAAAATTGCCGTTTCATAGTTCGATTTCAGTTGCGACATGACTACTCACTACAAACATATGACAATTTGACTCTAACATTCGGCGATTGTGACCTCACAAGGATGTCAACTACAATCATATGTATTTAACAATACTTACAAATGTAAAATAACATAAGTATTATCATAAAACTAAATTAGAATAATATTATTCTATGTTTAGAGCATTTATTTTGTGAAAAATTACATACAGATCCGGTAGATTACCCATTTTATCGAACACAAACAGGTTACTGAGTCTGCGCAGTAGGCACACAATATAGGTATTTCCGTTTCCTTTTAGAATCGTGATGATCGGAAATTTTGATAAGTATCTTCAATAATATCTTGAATAGGAGTTTTAATTTAATTAATTTAATAATTAAAATGTGTAACTACTAAAAATTAATGTCAAAACAAAGAAGAGATTAAACAACAGAAAAAAGAGCCCGTTTGGAAGGCAACATTAAAGTGAGCGTTGAGGGGTTCTCCCCTTTTTACACAAATGGACTCACCCAGTATATACATATACTACGGTTACGTGAAGACCCGAGAGAGCAAGACCGTCGAGTCGAGTTCAGAGTGACAGGTTCTAGGTAACCGGAAGAGTGAGGGGTGAGGTAACAGCGTTGTAGGAGTCACAGTGAGCGAGCACGTAGACTCAGTAAGAAGTCATACAGCGATACTTCAATACCAAAGACTGTATATATATATTTTGCTACTAACCCGTATTCCTGGAACTACTAACCTGCATTACCATTTTGTATTATTACGTTAATACATTATTTTCATCTATTTATTCCTGGCGTTTGTTATTTATTGGTACCGTATTTCAACCCGAAATCTACAACAGCGAGAAATTGAAGAAACCAAATGTGAAATTATCGATACTAGATGATATTTAAAGAAATTCAAATGTTTCAACAAGAAAATCAAGAAAACATGGGGAATTACGGCATAAATGAATATTTAATGAATTCTACTTTTTTGATCAAATTTAAAATTGGTTAAAAATAAATTATAACTGAAAGTATAAGTTTTAATTTAATTAATTTAATAACTAAAATGTAAATTTCTAATAACTGTTATTATTATTATTATTATTATTATTATTATTATCTTTGCTGTAATTTAGAACGAATCTTAGAACCTTCGAGGTGAACCATCCTCGCGATGAACTTTCTCCATTGTGATTTGGTGGCGCTGATTTTACCTATGGTAAACCGATGCTTATACATTAGAAATTACCAAATACAAGTCCAAAGATTCATATGACAAAATCCAACAAATATTCCGTGCAAACATAAAACGCTGCATTGCAAACATTGCTAACGGACAGACCACTAGAAAGCACCACAGAAGTAAATAATGACATATAGGCAACAGGTTTAGCAGCTATTAAAAATTAATGTCAAGACAAAGAAAAGAAAAAAGAGCGCAATTGGAAGGCAACATTAAAACGAGAAATTGAAGAAACCAAATGTGAATTATCGATACGAGAAAAACAAGAAAATTAAGCGGAAATTAAAACAGTAAATGAAATTCTACTAATCGAAGGAAGGAGAAAGTAAGAAACACAACAGGCATATGGATCTGGTGTTAAATACTACATTGATTTCACAAAACAGAATAGACACTTTGGCTGTCCCCGTGCTGCAATACAGTATCAACATCAGTAATTGGACCATAGCTGAAATTAAACGAATGGATATGAAAACGAAAAAGGTTTTCACTTAGCACTGCATGCATCAACCGAAAGCTGCTGTTGATCGTCTTTATGTGTCCAGATCCGGAGTAGGTAGAGGATTAGTTCAACTAGAATTGTCTACAAAACCACAAGTGATCTTCAAAGAAACCTGGGAACTACAGAGGTCTGGATGCTGATATATGTCAAAAACATGAAAGAAATAAGAAACTTTATTCAGTATTAAAGGAAGCTAACAATTTGAAAAGAGAATTTCAATTGTGGGGAAACGTGAAAGTAAACAATAATACATTTACTGCAGCAGTAAAGAACTTAAAAAAGAAAACAAATGCAATGGGCTAAATACAGAAACG